ATAGTCTAAATTGCCGGTGCGAAATTCGGTTTATAATCTTATGCACCGGGAGGTAGGAAAAGGTTATTTCATGATTTTTTATGCATAAGATAAGTTCCAGTCTAAACAAAAATGCGAAAGAGCATTAGCAGACTTTTGTGAACTTTCGTCATACTTGCCTCTAAATCTCTCTATCTAAATCATAATAGGGTTTTGGCTCGGGGTTTAAATCTTTTGGAGGTTTCCTTGTGATGTGTGTAACAATTCAAAGTAAATATTCAACCTAGTTCAAAATTAAATATGTACATAAATGCAAAAAAAATAAATTGCATAAAGTTAAAAAATTTTTTAATTTTTTAATATTTTTTGGTCATCTTTAATATAATTTAATCTTTTGCCTAAATTCTTTTAATACTAAATTTAACCAAATTAACCCTAATTAACCCAAATTAAAATCCAATTCAACTTATAAAAATTCATCATAATTAAATTAACATAATTAATCTACTCATTAATAATTTAGATTAAACCTAATCGAAAATAACCTAACTATATTAACACTAATTTATGAGGATTAATTGTTTTAATTAACATAAAATCCTAAAAATTAACATAATTATTATAATTCAAATTTAAATAAACATAATTAATCGAGCTTAACAAATAATTGAAATTAATCCTAATTAACCCAATACTTCACATAACCCAAATTTAACCATAATTAAGCCCATAGTTATATTGAATTTGACTTAAAAAAAATTCACTCTAATTAATCAACTCATAATTTAAATAACGTAACTATATTAACACTAATTTATGAGGATTAATTATTTTAATTAACATAAACATCCTTAAAATTAACATAATTATTATAAACCTAATTTAAGTAAATCTAATTAATCAACTAGCAACTAATTGATATTAATCATAATTAATGCTATATTTATCATAATTAACCCAAAATTATATTCAATTTAACTTTAAAAAAACACTCTAATTAAATTAACTGAATTAATAAACTCATAACAAATTTATATTAAACCTAATTGAAAAATAACCTAAATAGGTACATTAGCACTAATTAATTCAGATTAATTATTTTAATTAACATAAAAGTAATTAAAATAAAAAAACAACAATTTGACTAATTAATCAAAACTATGCTAACAATTAATATAAATAGGCAATGTACTTGAAAAAAAAAAAGTAGAGAGAGAACTAACAATGGGGGAGGAAAACCAATGGATTTAATGGGAGAAACACTTGAATTTTTAGGGAGAGAAAAGTGTCGAAACTGTTGGAGGAGGCTAGAGAGGAACTTGCATCGTCTTGGTTGGTGTAATCAAGTTTGGGCACTCACCGGCTGCAAGAGAGGAGGAGGAGGAGAGGGATAGAGAAAAAGAAAAATGGAGTAGAAGAGAGGTTACGCCCGATTTAGGGATTCAAATTTAGCGACGAACTCGATTCCATTGTTAATCCCTCCCAATATAGCAACCGAAGAAAGTGTTCATCACTAATTAAAGGTCAACATTGTAATTTAGCAACAAAAACCAACACTCCATCGCTATTTCATTTATATTCAGCGATGAATTTTATTGTCCGTCACAATTACTCTCGTTTTATTTTAGACATCAATATGCAAAATGGGTAAGGTGACACGTTAGCGACGAAACAAATAGTCCGTCGCTAATCCATCAATGAGTAGCGACAAAACAACAAATCGTCGCCGGTTCCACCGTGCAAATTTTTCAACAATTTTAGGTTTATGAAATTGTGTTTTAGCAACAGAATATAAATTCAGTCATTAATTTTTGTTTCTAAACCGTTGTCATTTTGTCGCTAATTACGTTTGATTTCAAATTAGCGATCGAAGTTAATCCGATGTTAACATTTCATTGCTATTTCATCTCAAATTCATATCAAATTGATTTAGTCACTATTCCGTCGCAAATCTATCACAAATTAGAGACGGAATGTTGTATGTCACTACTTTACGTCGTTAAATGACAAATATCTTGTAGTGTTTATGAGTAAATTTAATATAGTCCATTAAGAAATCAAATAGGAAAAGAACTAAATTGAAAAGAAAATAAAATTGAAAGGCAAATTGTGAAGTGTGTGCATGTGTGATGGTTGAAAAGAAAAAAAATACTAAGGTCCAGTACATCTTTAACCTTAATACAATCCTTTAAGAAATCAAATTGGAAAAGAATTAAATTGAAAAGGAAAGAAAATTATTAAATGTGTGCATGCGTGGTGGTTTAAAAGAAAAGAAAAGAAAAGAAAATTTTCATGTTTTGTTTCTTGAGGCGAACACATATATATTATAAAAAAGAAAAAAAAAAAAAGAGGCGGCAGCTTTTTTTTTCTTATTTACAATTGTCGAGGTGTGTTGCCACGAAAAGCTACAGGAAAAGAAAAAAAAAGTTTCTTTTTCTTAAATTTCTTAAATTATTGTAAAATAGAAAGTAAGATTTTTTTTTTGTGCACTAAATATCGAAGTTCTTTCTAATATTATTTTTTAGGTATTACAATTACAAAAAATTATAATATTTAAGGCAGTCATCTCACGTAGCATTGGACTTTACAAAAATATAAATTTTACATATTCTAGACTTTCATAATGAGATAGGCTTAAATAGATATGTAACTTGTATCACTATAAATATATATTTTTTCAAATTCACAAAAAAACTTCGGTGATTATGTTATTTTATTGATTATAGTGGATTATTTCAAAATTGATCTCGTAATTTTTTTTCTTTTCGATGGAGAGGATTTTTCGCATAAGTTTGGTATCTTATAGTTGTGCTATTGTGATTGATTTATTTTCTACTTTTGATTACTGTATATGTTTAGTTTAATTGTTTTTTAACAAAATTTAGTTTACACAAAGCGAGATTAAATTAACAACACAATTTTTATAAAGTTAATCTTCAATAACATTATTTTTATACAAGTTTTTATATTAATTTTTTATTTCTTCAATGTAATCTTATGAAAAAAAAGTATGTTTTTTAAATTTTATATTAAATTTTTATATTTAAATTATTACATGTTTTTATTTAAAAATGAATGCATAAGTAAGAACAAATTGTGTTTTTTTTACCTATAAAATTTATTAAAAAAATACTAAATTTTGATTAAAAATTATGAAATTAAGTTTAGAATATTAAAAAAATATTTAATGGTTTATATTATATATGTAGATGCATAATTAATTTTTTAGTAAAAGCAATGATCTCTCTCTCTCTCTCTCTCTCTCCATATATATATATATCATGATCATACTTAGTAGGTCAAAATATATAGAATAAATAAAAAATATTTAAAAAAAATTAAATTGTAAGGAATTTATTAAAGTTAGTAGATTGTAATAAAAAAAATTACAAAATTGATTTTGATATATTTAGATTATATAAAGAATAAGCAAATAAAACGAGTTAAATTTTATTTTTTTATTGAGTATTTATTTTAAAAAAACTTATTCAAAAATTCGTACACGGAGAAAATAAATCATATTTATTAATAAATAAAATTAAATAAACAATAAACAATAAAAAATTATGTGATGAGAATTTTTATAAGAAATTATCAATTGAAAAAATCAATTTTAAACAATAAATTTTATATTTTTTAATTATAAAATTTATGAAAAATATAAAGAAGAATAAATAAAGACACAATTTTTATTCAAAATTATGAAATTACATGAGAATTTCTCTTTTATATTTAATCTTATATATTTTAATTAATATATAATATAGTATAAATTATCAAATTAAAATAAATATATTTATACGGCTCGAAGCAGAACGTGAGAAACCGACTGGTGACACCTATGAGCTATGACAATTGGCTTCCTTTTTTCATTAAAAAAAAAAAAAAAAAATCAATCAGGCCACGTCGGCTTGGAAAACAATTTGACAAGCTTGTGCTTGGCCTGTTTTCCAGTCGGATTGGGCTTGCAAGTCAAAAATCCTTACCTAGGTTTGTCTTTACCTATTTGGTTCGGGCTAGCTCATTGGTTGCTTGGCCCATGAATAAGTCTTGGCATATCACAGGATAGAGGAACCGGAGATGGTTAAGATGGTGTGCTATAATTTCCTTGCTTATTAGGGTTCAAACCTTTTGCATTGCAATAGTTCCCAAATAATTATCATATTTCAACTCTAACCTTTGCATTTTTACTTAAATATTCAACCATGTCCTTTATTTTATTTTAGCTTTGCAATAGATTCTTGGTTCCATTCCCGCGCAAGCTATGAGAAATAAAATTCTCATTAATTTCAATTTGGTATGGTTTATAGATAATTTTTTTTTATCACAATGAATTAATAGATTTAGCTTCGGTATGTAAAAATTAACTTGTCGATACTCGGGACTTCTAATGATAAAAAAAATTATAAACAAAAGAGATTTGTTCTTGATATCTAAATACCACCAAGAGATTTAAAGATTTGAAAAGAGATGATTATATTTTTTATATATGAAATTTTATAATTTATTCACCATAACTCTTTTACCCTAATTTTGAGCTTCATAATTTTCGTACTTTCAATTTGTGATCGTATTTGCTCCTTCCTACAACACATATTTCTACATATACACAAGAGTGTGTGACCACAAAATGAAGTGTGAGGATTGATATACCTAAAGTTGCAGTATAAGGATCAAAATAACAAAAATATAAAACTTGAGTGACCATGATGTAATATAATGCAGATGGTAGTGTCTTGAATGATCCTTAGTCCCTGTATTGTTTGGCAATTGGCACCCATTTTTACAATGTGGGCTCTGTAGCTAAATTAGCTTAGCTATACTCCCAGTAACCTATATCACACGCCCCTCCCCTCCTCTCCAACTCTCTTCTACTACTTCCTCCATTGAAGAGAACCACCACGCTTGTCACCGCATCGCCGACCAACCATTCCCGCTGATCCGTTGAACCTCTCCGGTTACAAATCCTCCATTGATCACATATCATTATTATCGGATTGAATTACCATATCCAAATGAATATGGCAAGCGGGCAAGTGTCAAAACGAGTCAAGTTCAAGAGCTCAGTGAAAGACCCTGGCACTCCTGGTCGATTATTTTTGGTACTTTTCACTACTTTTCCTTTATGGGTTTTTAATTTTATCATCAAATTTTGAAACTTGATTGCATTTTTTGTGGTTTTTTTTTTTTTTTTTTTTTGGTTTCGGTGCAGACTTTGGAGAGATTGATGTTCAAGCCTAATAGTCCTAATTCAGCTACAAAGCTTAATATGGAGTTTAAATTCATTAAAAGTAAAGAATATGTTATTTTTTGTTTGTTTTAATGGAATTTTTGTATCAACTTTGTTTTTGGTGTAATGGGTTTATTTCTTTTTTTATGTACATTGAATGTGTAGATCATAGGTACACTAAGGAGGGATCAAATAAAGCACCAATGCTTAATCTCACTTCGAGTCAGGTACCTATGATGGATATGATCGAATTGTTTGTTATTGTTAGTTGTTTATTTTCTTTTCTTTTTTGTGTTATTGATGTTTTACTCAAATGGGTTATTTTTGGTGTTTTAGGGTGTGAGTTACATATTTGAATTTGAAAGTTACGATGATCTCCAAGTTTGCAAAGAGTGTGTAGGTAAGTCTTGATTCTCAAGTGTAGAGATGATGCTGATCTCTAGTTTCTCTGTGATGCATTTACTATTTGATTAAAGATTAATATTTATTATGGATTCATCAGCAGCGTTGTGTCTGGTATATTGTAAGCAGAACTATAATTTAATAGAAAGTGCACTATAATTCTATTTTGATCATTTGGTTACCTTTTAATATATAATGATAACGTAATGAAAGGATAGAAAAGTTAATGTTACTACACTAATAAACACAATGGTGAAAAGTTGATGTTATTACAGTAATAAACACAATGGTGATTACATAGTTCGGGCAATGCAATGCCATTACTTTATGGGCAACAATGCATAAATGCCCTATCTTGCCATGAATCCTTCTGAAATTGGAGGATCAGGTGTCAAACTGCCATCATTTTCAACTAAGCCTTCTTGATAAGCAGTTTGAAGATACATATTTGAGGTAAATAGTGTTTGAAGAATGGTTGTAGTGTTTGAAGATGGTTTGTAGGTTGTCAAATATGGAACTGGATCGTTGGGTTGGGTTTTTATGAACATGAAGGAGATATTGGTTTGTAGAGCAGAAAAAGAGTTCTCCTACATGGATTTTGCATGCTGAAAAGGGGGATCACGTTTTCCTCTTGTAATTCGTGTATAAGGACCATTTCCCTCTTACTAAGCTCATGCTTGGATGTCTCTAAAAGCAATATTTTTTTAATGTTGCTTGTGAGGGAGCTTGATATTTAAAACTTTCTGTAATCTTTTTTCAAATGGGTTATAGCATTAAAACTATAGCAGAGGAGGATGTGTGAAGATGGATAGTCGAGACCATCTTAAGTTTCAAGTTTAGAATTAAGTCATTTACAGCATCTTGACTAAGAATTAGTCTAAAAAGAGATTTTCTTTTACAGCTATTTGAAAAGCTAAATTTCTCCCACAGACTGTTCTTTTCGTTAGGAGGCTGCTTCAGATAAGTTAATATTGATAACCTTCATACTAGAGGTAAATTTTTTGGTGAAATGGTGTTCTTTTGTGTAAAGAAGCTGTCAAATTGTAAATAGTCATCTGTTACACAACTGACTACTATATGCTTATTGAGTTTGGTGTATGAGGTGTTGGATTCTATTGGTTGTAGCAGGTTTAGTTGTTATGGAATTGAATGGACGGAGCTGGTTTTTGTAGATGCAAATTAAAAACACACACACAAAGTTGTATCCTGTTAGCTGTTTTAGATTTCTGTTAGTTGAATAAAAGGAAGGGTTTAGGGGAGAAGAATCATCCCTCATCCTTCTTGGAATCTAGTATTAGATTATATACGTTGCTGGAAACAACACAATGAATTGCTAATGTGGAGGATCTCTTATTCTTGATTAATCACACCGAAATATAATCATTCATCACTATGCTATTGTAATTTGCGATCCGACAAATAATGGAATGATTCATATATTTACACTCCTTTTGATCCCTTATCCATAATGCCTCTCATTCATTTCTCTCCCATAACAGAATTCCAAATCTGTTTGTAAGAGGTTTATATTTCAGCTTGGCACCTCCTTGCTGAGATGGAGTACATTCTTAATGTTGTTTATTTGTTGTGTATTTTTTTCTGTAAGCTTACAATGTTGTCCGTTTTCTATGGCATAGTGTTGTGATAACTTGAATAATTTTTTCTCTGCCTGCATTGTTGAGTTTATGTGAGAAAGAAAAGGCTTGTATCTCTCTGTTCATCCTTATGATTGATTGTTGAGGAACCCCAATGTCACTTTTTTGAGGGATTGAAAGGATAGCCTTCTGTAGTGCTAAATCTGGGACAAATCTGGGACATCATAATAAGTTTATCTAAGCCCTTGTCTCCTTTTGCTCTCTGTTTCATGGAACTTGTCAGAGTTTTCTGCTTTCTTACATTTTTTTCTAGAATCTTTGCTGCTTGGTGTTTAGACTGCTGATAATCATGATAATATGTCAATCCTGTGTTGGCTTCTTCTGAAGCTATGGTTTTGGTACCTTGTAAATAGGCAAAGCCCTTTCGAAGACTGGAGAGACACCAAAGCCCGTAGACACTTCAGAAGTTCCTTCTGAACAACCTAGTACTGAAGAATTGCTTTCGCGGATGAACATGCTGCGAGAAAATAGGTAAATTTATTTACTCAAGACTCCTGATATAGAACAATTATAGCACAAATGTTTTGGTGACTCCTTGGTGATCATGCCAACTTCTTTTATAATAATGTGAATCTCATTACTTTTCTCGTTGAAATAAATATTAATTCTAATTGTGCTTCAACTTAAGATTTACTCTTCCTTTGGTTCTGTTTTGTCTGTGGCATATTCTCAGATATAATGGTAAAAGAATGCTCTTATTTGTGGGCTTTACAAAGGCAGCTTGCACTTGTCTATATAGGTCTACACTCTTTTAATTAATCAGTAATTAAGGAGGAAAATATATATTCTTAAAGGAATTGTTTGACAGAAGACCTAGCTCAAGTTCATAGATATTCACTCACACGGGCTGTTTTAAGCTTGTAAAGCGATTAGAGAAAGACAAAATCAGCTGTATAAAAAAATAAATTGCTAACAAGGATTTGGTGACTTGCCAAGGATCAAGGAACATGTCAAACTTCTAGTATTTAAATTACAAGAGTTATGCCTTTCATGGTACTTGCAGTGGTTGCCATCAAATTTCAGCTAACTACACTGTTTGTTCTTTCTACTCGGTGAAGTAGTGTAACCTGTACTAAGAACATAAAATGAGGAGTTTGGAGTTTAAGAGCTTCTGAGTAAATTTGAACAGAGCATGGAAAGATGATGGGAAACGAGTTCAGAAACCAATGCTTTTATATTTTCTGAAGAAGAGTAAAAAGGTTTTGGACATATCTGATTTTTTCCTTTAGTGAGATAGCATGCTGAGATTTTTTATTTCTTTTTTTTTTTTTAACTAATCCGTTTCGTACATTCCAGATTGGTTGTCCTGTTTGAAATGTTAGCTACAATATATTAGCTACTGTGCTTTGATTTAATATCCACCATAACTAGATTGTTTTATGCTCAATGTGTCATTTTGTTTTTGGAGCTGATGTTCTAACTCTGTTATCCATTTGACCACCAAAATTTTTGGTTCAGCGAGTTGCAGAAGCTTCATAAGCGGTTTGTGAGAGATGGCATCTTGACAGAAGCTGAATTTTGGGCAACTAGGAAGGTTAGTATTCTTTGAAGATGTAATGGTGATTATCTTGGTTTCATGATGCTGCTTTTCATTAGTATTTGAACTTGCGGTTTCTATCAGTCAAGATCTTAATTTTTTCCCTGATGGACACTATCTGCCTAGAAGCTGTCATTCTGGTTGTTAAGGGCATTATCAAGGAATATTTAATTGCATTTCTTTCTCCTTTAATCAATTTGCAGAAGTTGCTCGGTGCAAACTCCAGCAAAAAGTCAAAACAACGGACAGGCCTCAAAAGTGTCATGCTTTCAGACACCAAGCCATCAACCGACGGTCGAGTACTATACAGCTCCCTCCCCACCCCTCTCCGTGTTTTTATGTGTGTGTGTGTGAGAGAGAGCATGTGCTAGTGCATGTATTCTTACCTGTTTGTCTTGCTGTTGAGATTTTTATATGTTTTCAAGAACTTTCTTTGTGCTCTTTGGATGTGGAAGCTTACTTTTGTTTATTTCTTGGAATTCCAGACAAACAAAGTTACATTTACTTTGACGCCTGAGATTGTTCGTGAGGTAAGATATCTCATGATTATTAAATACTCATAATTCTAGTAAACGAAAAACAAGGATAGTAGAAAGTTGTTAGCTAATTAAACTTTCACTAGCTGTCCAAAAAGTATCTTCATGCTAAATCACATCCGACAGCCTACCTAGTAGAGTATACCCTGCTCCCATGTTCTTCCACCTATTGCATAACTTTGCTGTTCTTCCATTTATTTAATGATTATATTGTGTCTCAGATTTTTGCAGAGAAACCAGCAGTACACCAAGCATACATGGAGTTAGTTCCCAAAAAGGTAGTGAGAGCATTGGAACTACGTTTTAAATTTCAAGGGTGTTTTTTATGACAAGATCGTAATACTTTTATCATTAATAATTATCCGAAGTTGTGGTACTGCTCAGAATTTTGCTTTTGTGAACTCTTCTGGTGTTTTTTCCTCCTGTGTTCCAGATGTCAGAAAGGGATTTCTGGAGCAAATATTGTAGAGCAGAATACCTCCAACATGCAAAAAGTGCTAATGCTGCAGCTGCAGCAGAAGCTGAAGCTGCTGAAGATGAGGAGCTTGCACTTTTCCTGAAGCCTGATAATCTTTTGGCTAAAGAAACTAAGCGGAAGGTATTCATTTTTGGTTGTTTATTTAATATATTTGTTTCTAAATACTGAAACATTTCTTTGCATCTTTATGTCCTTTTTATTATTGAGAAAAATATTGAGCGATACTTTTTGTTCCAGATCAAATGTGTTGACCCAACTCTAGACTTGGAAGCTGATGAAGGGGATGATTATACACATCTTCCAGTAAGTTGGATAACACCGACCTTCATTTTAAGACAATATATATTCCTGGAAGTTCTTATTCCCTCGTGAGTTATTTAATTTAATTGGTAAGCTTGAATATTAAACTCCAACTGGGAAAAAAGACTAGAATTTGTATTTTCAGCTGATGTTATAATAATTTTCTTTAAAAAACTTGCAATAGATTGACAGATTATTAAGAAAATAGAATGTCTCAATATATATATATATATAAGCATAATGGGATATCTTATTCTTCCATTCTCAACATCCTTATGGATGTGAATTAAATCTAATAGCATTATGCTACTTTCTGGTATGCTTTTGTGGTGGAAAATCCATGTTTCTTCTCTGGGTTGATTGTCTAAATCTGTCACGATGCTTTTATATCTATCTTTTCTAATCCTGGTTGCACTTTTAAAATACAGGATCATGGGATTGTCCGTGATGGTAGCAAGGAAATAACTGAATCACAGCGTCAACTGCATATAAGGACTCTGTCGCAGGAGCTAAACAGGCATGCCGCTGTTGTTCTTCAAGGAACACCTATAGGTAAGAGTTTTCCATCAATCTGATTTTGCTTCTAAATCCTTTAAACATGCAATGAATATGGTTTTGTGCCTGTTTCTTGTTCAATTTGCTGTTGTGTGTTCCTTAAAAAGTTACAACTCATGTGAAATTAAGATTTATAATCTTATAGACGAGGAGCAATTGAAAGACACGCAGACTGTAGCAGAGGCACTAAACCAGTCAAAACACGGTTAGTGGTTTGTGTTGGCTTCTCTTTATTACCCCTTCTATTTTGTCATGTATGAAAACATCCTTGTATTTCTGTTGCCAGGACAGGATACTTCTAATGAAGAAGCTGATATGAATGCAAACCAGGACAGATTAAGTAGAATTTCAAAAATGATGGAGATTGATGATCTTCAGGCATCAAGTGATCTTCCTTTGGCACCACTTTCTATCAAGGTTTTATTGAATTCTCATCATCATGTATCTGCAGTAGAATTTTGTAATTCAGATATGTAATTTTATGTTTTTGAATCCAGGATCCAAGGGACTACTTTGATTCTCAACAAGCTAGTGCGCTTAAAACTTCAAGAGATACCAGTATTGGAACTGATCCAGTAAAACGCAACCTGAGTGCAGGAGAATCATATGCTTCTTTGAGGGACTCCATTTCCCTCATAAAAACCACCGGATTGGTTGATCCCATAATTACACCAGAAGTTGCAGTCAAGGTAATATATTTAAATTATCTGCTGTATATTTGCTAAAAATTATTGGAAAACATGCATATTGTTGTTAATGATGTAGTATGTCATGGGACCATGATGCAGGTTCTTTCAGTCTTGACCCACAATATCTCAAGCACTAAATATGATCTTGGGAAGAATCCTGGGCTAAGTGTTTTGGACACATTGCCAAATACAATTAAAGAGGAGCTACTATATGTGAGTGTTTGTAATTTATATGATTTTGTCTTCACGAAAAAAAAAAGAATGCTTTGCACTGGATCATGCATTGGACACTGTTGTTGTTAATACTGGTTTATTAGTTTTTATTCTGTTAACCTGATTGGTTTATTGCAAGATTTTGGCTTAGTTTCCTGTGATCTCATGTTCATGTGGATGCTTACCTTCAGCACTGGACATCTCTTCAAGAGTTATTGAGGCATTACTGGTCATCATATCCAATCACTACTACATATCTTTATACTAAGGTAAATGCCATGATTCTCTTGTCACATTATGAGATATCGTATATAAAATGAGTGAAGTTGTTCCTTTTGATTTCTAGATTCGAAATTTTATGAGAACATTGCTTTATATTTGAACATACAAAAAGCTGTTATGGTCAGTGCAGGATTGAACAGAGTATTGAAACAGACTTTAAGGCTTTTTGCAAGGACAGCTTTAACGACTATGTCACTATAGTTGAATAATGAAACTCTGAACAAAGATTTTCTCTTGCCATGAGGGTGATTGGGAATAGTGTTCCCATGAGCCCACAGGCAAAAGTAATATTGCTTTGAAGAGGAATTTCTTTTATTGTACCACTGCTGATCATTCCATTTTCTCTCTCTGTTCATTACATATTTGCAGGTAAGCAGATTAAAGGACGCAATGTCAAAAATTGATTCACAGCTACAGGTAATTTTGGCAGTAAGCTCCTTATGTAATTTTTTATTCCCCCATTCAGCTTTCTTCTTTTATGTGACAAGACAATTTTATCACATACACTGCGTGAGGCACACATATTAAGCTATCTTAAATTCATGCACACCATAACCTATCGCTCCTCCTTCCCCACTTCCTCTCTTAAGTCTCAAAGTGCATCTTTATGGCTCCTTGATTTGACCATCAGTGCAACGTCTAAAGGATAACTGCTAACTCTCTGTGTATGCTGCTAGTTGTAGACCAATTTCATCCTTCAATTGAGCTATTTGAATCTCGCGTTTATCTTGCTTGTTCCTTCAATTTATGTTGGGTATCCATTACCTTTCGCTAATTTTTTTAACAAACACAAATTTGTCCATGTTTGTGCATGGTGTTCTTGGCTCAGATATAGGGGCTTTCATCCCACTATTTTTATTCTTACAACATGTTTTGGCTCTTGCGGGATGCATATGTGACCTGTAATTTTTGCTTCTCCAGCATACTATTCTATGGGCTGTGCACAAAGCTTTTAAAGTGCTTTCTTATTTCTCTTTCTCTTAAATCTCAGGAGCTGAAGGAATCTGTTCTGTCAGATCTTCGACATCAGGTTACCCTACTAATTCGACCAATGCAACAGGTCAGCAGTTCTTTCCACATCCCTATATAACTCAAGGATTTGGCGCTTTGATGTATTGAAATTTTTCATGGTAGCTGTTAATTATCTGTTTCAGCCTTTGGTACACTTCTTTTGGCTGAAATGTTAACCTTGGTCTGGAGTGTTTTTCAAGCGATACTGGAATTTCAAACCTATGTTTACAGAGCCTAACGAATGCCCTAATTTTCTTCTGTTTTGCCAACTCTGTCAAAATCGCAAGTCAACTGCAGTACCTTCTGATTCGGTTTCTGCATTTGCATCTTTGTTTTGGCTGGAATTCATGGACAAAGACCATTTGTGCAGGCTCTCGAGGCTGCTATGCAACATTACGATGCAGAAATGCAGAAGAGATCAGCGCGTAGTGCAGAGAGATCAAATGGATATACCTAGGGGACTTTTATACTGTCACCTCGCAAGCATCATGCTGTGACATTTTTCGCCACCTCCATTTTGTAATCCAATTGTACATCAAATCAATTTTGTTGCTGAGTTCATGCTAGATATAAGGTTTCTCATTGTCCACCTCAGCATTATACAGTTGCGGATAATGATCTTATATATACAAATGATTAGAAGTAGAAACATAGAGGTGCATACATGGTCTATCATCAAAAAGTATGTATCCCCAACTGCGTATGCTATTTCTTAAGGCCAAATTTTCTAATATGCCAAAAATTTGGGTGCCTTGTTTTTACCTTGGTGATTTGCAATTCCACTATCAGATGTCAGTGCAGTTTCGTGCTCACATGCCCTGGTTAATATGTCTGGTCGAGATGAAATCGTATTTTTGCTTTTTGAAGAACCAAAACAATAAGTCTGGTCAAGTTGGAATCCTATTTTTTGCTGTTTGAAAGAACCAAAAACAAAGGCAGTGAAACATGTTTTGCACAATGCAAGAGAATGCAAGGGTAATTCTAATTCTGTTCTTTCTGAAATTCTTATATCAAAAAAGTTTCTTGAATTACATTCGATGGCAGGTTTGTAGGAAACTAACAAACGAAAATAGTAGAGAGTCACTAATCTTCAATTCCATTGTACTAAAATCAGAGATGGACTGCAATTATTTTTTTCATTTGCAAAATTAAAAAAATACAATTCAATTAAACAGATTTGAGAACCATGAGACGCTGTTCCAATCCATTCGAAAATAGCTAGAACTGAAAAAACAAGAAACAAACATTGTTATGATGCAAAAACTAATCCCAGTCACAACAAATCCCTAAAAACGAACACATATCAAAAAACAGAAACCCTAAAAGAATTGCTACTAGAAAAAAGAACTTAAAATCCCTAGAAAGGAGTAGGAGGAGCTGCAAAACCCAAGAAAGGTCTTCCAGTTCCACAAAGTGAACCACTGACGCTAGAATCACAAACATGAAACGCATCCTTCAACTTGTGAAACCCATTCTTGTAAATTCCAAAACCAAAAAACAACCCTATCAAGATCACCAGCAATATCACACATGAGCACATCATGCACACCTTCGTCCCACAGCACATCTTTGCTAGCTTCTTCTTCCTACGTGGAGTGTGTTCTGAATCTCGAAATGTCTGCTATATAAGGCAGCTTTTTTCAAGAACTTTTTGCAGAAGAAATGGATAGTGTGTGTGTGTGTTTTGAATCTTGGAGTTGTGTCCGGCTGAGTGGCGATTGGCGAAGGGAAACAGAACAGTCGAACGTTATAGATATGAGAATTGCTGGCTTGAAATTAAAGCAAACAAATAAAGATTCTGACAGTTTCGATTTTTTAATCTGTTCTGACGTGGATGGTTGTTATTGGTTGATTGCTTCAACTTTTCAAAATCCGCTGGAAATCACTATCTATCGGCCCATAGATGGATTTAGATTGTTTAGGTTGGGCTCCACGTCACTGGGAACGTAGTAAATCACTTGAATGATCCTCTAACTTTTTTATGCTTATCGTTTTAATCCTTTAACCGAGATTTTGGGCACCTGCCAACTCATGATGTTTTCAACTTTTCAAAGTTGTTAGCGTTGTATGAGCACCATGTATCGGTAAAGCCCATATACCAAAAAGAAGAACCATAAGGCAAATAATATAGCCCCATATTTGATTCTGGAGAGCACAATCATCTGCAAGTTGTCAAAGCATAAACATCAGCACAAATCATTTATGTATTAACAAATAATATGCAAATCGCATATTAGTCCTTAAGTCAATAGTAAATATTCTCAACAACTTGCATCAGCACATACACATTTATGTAGCAGTTACTTCAGGAAACCTATCGCTCAAAGAAGCTAAGCCTTTGCTGCCAAAAAGCTTCAGCAGAATCTAAAATTCAAGGTAATATTTTTGGGCGTATTAGCATAGTATATCTTTATATAAATAGGTCAATGTTCAATATATACTTATATCCTAAAATAAGTCAATTAAGTTATTGTATTTTAAGCAAATTTTATGTCCTTCTAGTGAATTTTCCGATCAAGCTACTAGAAAAAATCACATGACTTACACAAAACTTTTTTTTTTTTTTTCTAAAAAAGCCCTTAGTTGAATGTGTGCAAGTCAATATTTCTTCAAGGGTATTTTTGAAAAAAAAAATTGCCCTTAAGGGTATTTTTTAGCTAAATGTGTATTTTTCTAATGGTTTCGTAGAAAAAATTCACTAGAAGCATAGATTGAAAACTCATTTAAAGTAGAGATATAATTAGCTCATTTTACGATATAAAGATAAATCGGATACTAAACCTATTATATCAAACTAGAATGAACAATTTATAAGTTTTTATGAATTCTTGCATCTCTTTCATCTTTATTGTTGTCTTTACCTCATTTTTGCCAAAAAAAAAAAAAAAATGTGGGCTTGTAATAGTCTAGGTTTGACTGTTCAGGCATGCCTTTAAAAAACAAAAAATAAATAAAGAATGAGAAAAAAAAAAAAACCTAGTCCAATCCAAAGTACACACATATAGATATCATTTATTCCCAGACACACACACAAAGAGGAAAAAGAATAAAACTAATAGTCAAAGAAAAAAAAATAGAGAAAAGAAGGAAAAAAGACAGTGATATCGCAACCCCTTCCCTACCCTTTCGAATGACCCAAGTCAGTCCACCATCATCACCCGTAGAAGACAAACTAAGCACCATTATTTGCACCTCGTTTCAATTATCAATGCACCCCTAGACCAATCCAAAGTGCACGTATATAAATGTCATTTATTCACAAACACACTAAGAGGGGGGAAAAGAAAAAAAGAAAAGAAAGAAAAAAGACAATGACATCTCCTTTCCAACCCTTCTAATGACACATGTCCTCGGAGAAAACAATCCAAGCACCTCTATTTCGACCTCATTTCGATTAGCAACACACCTTCACGAGCGAGAGTAAGTTTCCAAGCGCCGTGTCACACCCCTCCCCCCACGCACCTCCTTTACGACTGCTATCTTTGCTTTATTTTTGTCCAGTTTGGTTCCTGAACTCCTAACTTAGGTATGTAAACTCCTAAGTTTTTAATTCTTGACTTAATTTTCATCCAAATCTCATATATTGTGTTATTATTGTATTGATTCATGTTTATAAAATTTAGATGATTTATTGAATTAAAGTTATATGATTTTAGATTTAATTGAAAGTAATTAAACTTGGAGTCCTTGATTTTCTTTAACATATTTAACCAAGCTTTGAATTTGATTTTTTTTTTTTTTTTGTCTAAAATCTAATATTATTTGATATTTTTCACGATCTTTGAAATGGGCCATGACCGAGTGCAAAACTCAAAGGAGTTATGGGACTCACTTCGACTCGAACAAGCCTTGAATATCTAAACTATAATTTTCAAGACTCTAGCACATCAAATATCACTTCCAAATTGTAATATCACAATCTAACAATTACTACTCTATAACTCCAGCACAAACGATAATTCTATAATGTTCTTGTATTTTCCAAAATAATATCCATAATTATCATTCAAATTAATCAATATCACATCTTTTACGATTGCTATCTTTGCTTCATTTTGGCTTAGTTTGGTTCCCGAACTTCTAACTTAGGTATGTAAACTCCCGAGTTTTTAATTCTTGATTTAATTTTCATCCAAATCTCTATATTGTGTTATTATTGTATTGATTCATGTTTATAAAATTTAGATGATTTATTGAATTAAATTTATATGATTTTAGATTTAATTGAAAGTAATTAAATTTGGAGTCCTTGATTTTATTTAACATATTTAACCAAGCTTTGAATTTCATTTTTTTTTTGTGTCTAAAATCTAATAGTGTTGGATATTTGTCACGATCTCCGAAATGGGCCATGATCGATGTAAAACTCGAAAGAGTCGTGGGATCCACTTCGACTCAACTAAGCCTTGAATAGCTAAACTACAATTCTCAAGCCTCTAGCACATCAAATATCACTTCCAATTTGTAATATCACAATCTAACGAGTTACTACTTTATAACTCCAAGACAAACGATAATTCTATAGTGTTCTTATATTTTTTAAAATAATATCCATAATCATCATTCTAATTAGTCAATATCACATCTAAATCTATTATACCACTTTCAATTCACAATACTTAAATATATCCAACATGATAGATATCAACCTAACACAGCTCTCACAAGTATAACCGTAAAGCTTCTAAAAGATATAACAATATTAAACACAAAATTCAAAAAAATTACAAGTAAATAAGCGAGCATGATCAATGTGTCGGCTTCAAGACAATCGACTTTATGAAAGTAAAAAGGCAATCTCACAAACCCTAAAAAACTAAAATTATAGGATGTGAGCAAATCAATAACTCAATGAATAGATATTATATAACATATCTAAGGAAGATAAACATACTTAGAATGATAATTTAAAACCTACTCAAGATGCAATGTTTATTTCTTAAAGTCAAATACATATTATAAATATCAAATCATAAATTATATCTTAAATACTCCAATCCAAATCATATCAAACATCAAAATCTAAATATAGAATAATCAAATCAAATCAAGTATCTAAATTTACACTTGGGGTGAAACAAACATAACGTATCATTGGATGCGATCACCTAAAGGCTATGCCTCCCATGACTAGGTATACTACGTCTTGGGCGACACACGAGCTAGCATTACCCCTCTCTTGTTAGCCGAAGTATTTCCGTATCGGTGAGCTCGTAGGCTATGCCCTCTATAGCTAGGTACCCCAAGGTAACTAATCAAATCAAAAATACATAAACTTATATATATATTCGAAAAACATCCAAATCCAACATATCAAATACAATTCATGCTCAAAATCATATTTGATAATACAATTCAATATCCAACCTCATGCTCACAAGTTAAACTCAAATACAAATTCATATTAAAAATTATAATTTAAATACCTATTGAAATTATACTAATAAATCAAAATCAAGAATCTAAATTAAACAAGTAATTAAATTCATAAATACAAATCAAATATTAAGTAAAATACCTATCCAAACACATATTCAAATATGTTTTTAGAATCATATCAAACTATTTTCGATATTAAATTATTTTAAATGCACAAGTGATCCGTTCTCCGTGTAAGTTTTAATGAATGTGATTGTATCATAGTTAAATCAATGATACATGATAGATGTATTAAAGGAACTTAAAAAAATAATATGTTATATATTATCCACTCAAATTATAATCAAATGATCAATCAAAATCAAGGTTGTTGAGATGGAGTCGTCTGTTATGAAGAATCTAGTGACACAAAATCATTGAATAATCATCAATATCACATATCAAAGAACAATTCAAAGCAAATAAATTACTCTAGAAATCAAGATACAAGATAATTTATAAAAAAGAAATTGATTGAAAAGATTCAAAGCGATGACTTTAACTAACTTTCACTCTCTTAATCGATTTCAAATAATTTTCCAACTATATTCTAAGTTCACTCTATAATATATTTTTTTTTCTAGTAATGCAATTTATACTTTACTACAAATAATCATCCATCACTAATTTTCAATCAATCTTCACATATACAATCTTTTCTTTACAACTCATCATCCTAACCATATTGAGAATTTCTTAAACCCATAGTCCAATTATCACTTTCACACAACCATTACCTTATATCAAGCCTCAATTAATATAAAAACTTACTTAATGATCAAGTTCTCAAATTCAATTCAAATCATAACCTCAATCTACCTAAATCTTCAATTAATGACAAACTCAACGTAAAACAACCCCAAAATAACCAATAAACATCATTTCAAACATCACTTAGGATAAACTCTTACTTAACCATCAAATTTCCAAATTTAATTCAAACTTTAAATAATCCATTCTCAATTAAATCATCAATTTTATTCTAATTCACTCAATTCTCATTTCATTCATCCTTAATTGTATTTATATAACTTAATTATTCATTTTTGTCAATTTTTTTAATTTAAAACCCCAAATTTCAAAATTTACTATTTATCATCTTTAACTTCTTAAATTAATCAAATTTACCCAATTCAACTTCATAAATCA